TACGGCATATGGTTTATGGATCGGACCGTCGTTACTAACGCCTTACGAAGGGACCCAATATCGTTTTACGATTTCACTCAATTCGACTACATTTTGGAGAAAACAGTTGATAAGAAAGTTTTAGTCGGTGAGATGTTTTTTAAGTTACGTTTTATTTACACATTTTTGAAATTAGAAGTTTGTTTCTATTTTTTGGCCCTTGATGTAGATGTCATTGGAGCGTTGTTGGAGGTTGGCCACTTGACCGGAGACTTCTACGGTCTCAAGCTTCCTTTCAAGATCAAAGATAGATAGTAAATGTTCTTTTCACATTTGATTCACTTACACTTTTTAATCTAAACGCTGACTTGATTCTTCTTTTAATCTAATGTAGCAACGAAGTTTTGGAATGCGAAGCACACAATGAACAGGCGTTGGAATTCCAAACCTTCTTTCGGAGTCTAGGTCAGCGCAATGTTGTTGTCGCACTCGTCTTCTGGCGTTTAACCGACAGAGCTAATCCTAAGGTTGTGAGTCATGGTCCTGTGTCAAAGGTCTTTGCCGATCCGGACACACCGGAAGTGGAAGAGATCAAGCAGGTCATTTTTTAGATAGGGGGATTTGTTTTCCCCAGTCTTCTTATTATTAAAGACCAGATTTATATTAAGTATTGTAAAACTACATAAACTTGTTGTTGTTTTCTAATTACTTGCATTTGTATAATAAACTATTGGGTAACTGTACGTACATTTTATACGTACAGTGTCTACAATTACAATTAATTTGCCAGTGTACGTTTTACTAGCTTTTTGGTTCTTCAATCAGCAAATTGTACGAAACCCGTGTTCGTACACGAAAACATACATATATCATAATTGTTGTCCTCAAACAACAAAAATTTCATTCATTCATAATTAAATGCCCGAAGAAGGACATACATTCAAGAAAGACAAACTATATATTAGATGCGGAAGCAATAAACTAAAAAGTAGAGCCCGAAGCATACACATGAGCCGGAAAATTGTATGCCTCATCCGTCATTATCAAAGTCATATCTAATAGAAGACACACATCTCCCTCGCGTACCAGTAAAAGAAACACGCTCTGCAGCCGGAACTGTACGTGCAACGGCCAAGACATGCCGGTGTGTGCACATACCTCCATGAACGTTGCCAGAGCCGAGGACCTTCGGTGTGAAGCTGGCTTATGTGATACATCACCATCTCCCCCACTGCGTGAGCTGCCGCTAATGTGGGTGTCATCGCCCAGAACATATCGCTGACTGGAAGAAAGTCGACATGGTTGCCAGTACAAGTTAGGAATAAGCCGGTCGCGAAGCAGGCGAGAGGGTTGGATGGAGCGACGGAGTTGAGTAGTGTAATGCTGTGGGCCACCGTTAGGAAGCTGCTTGCCTGGCGGACACCTTCGAGGTATATAGCCGGGATCGCACCCCTTTCCAGCAAGAGGCTGAAGTAGGCCCTGAAGGGAGACTCCGGCTGCACGAAGTGAGGCCATGTGATAAAGTCGTCCATCACTATTGCGTTTACGTCACTTGCTTCGACCAAGTGGCGGAGGGTCTCGATGGGAGTCTGGGATACGGGCAGGTAGTTGATGAGGACGGAAATCGGGTTTGGCAATTGTATTGCAAGGTACATCTCGGTTGCAGGGGTTGCGGGGAAAGCCATGTTGTTAACAAAGGAGGTTTAGAAATAATCTTGCAGTTGATGAAAGAAGGAAGTTTTAGAATAATGTGAGCAAATAAATTTGTGTGTGTGATATCGTTTATATAGGGCCTAAATATTGAGTTCATGTACATGGCTACATTTGGGGGGGGGGGGAACGCATTAATAAAGTGTCATTATTTTAAAGTTCCTCTTGTCTGACAAATGCAAGTGTACATTAATTGCAAACCGTGTACGTAAAGTAAGGAGATTTATGGGAAAAGATAGAGGTCATTCTATGAATAGAGCTTGACAGTATGCATTAAATAACCACTCCAAAACTTGTAGATATGGGTTATTACAGGTCAAATCAATCAGCATTGCATCATCATTTACTACCATCTCGAAAGTCGCTTCTCATATTTCTAGTTTCAAACCAACTAAAATACGTGTACACAGTAACGTATACCCGTGTACGTATGTCTACCCTTATTACGTTCTCTGACTAAAAGTTTGAGTTGATGTCTGTCGCCGAATTAGGGGAAAAGATTGAGTTCATGTATATGGCTAAATCTGGAGGAAACACATTAAAAACCAAATCTCTTTCTTTTGCAATTTCGTTTTATCTGACAAAAGACAGTGTACATTAATTACAGGGATGTGTACGTATATATGTACATTAATTTACGTTTTTTTTTTTTTTTTTGAAAAGATAGAGGTCATTATCAATGGCTAAATCATGTCAGTATGTATTTACTGATAATTCGTAAGCCTGTGTAGACAAGGCACCATTATCTAACATTAAGAAACTTGTTTCTCAATTTAATATAAAATATTACAATTATTTGTAACCATTCATAAGATTGAGTAGTATATGAGAAACAAGCAAGGATGTAGATAAAAAGATATTCATTACTGATAAGCCTATTTACAATTGCAAAGGCCACATATTATAACATAAAAACTTAGAAATTCAGATAATATTACGTAAGAAATCCCTAGAGAATTTGACTAATTCTTCTCGCACACCACCAGAGGTAACATACGTTGCACACATTCTTGAAGGGTCCAGATCTGATGTAACACATCATTGCGCAAGGAGGCGTTTGAATACCACGTTCCTCAGGGTACGAAAAGGTTGCGCCGTATGTGTTGTTTAACCTAATTCCATAATTTTTTATTTCTTCTAGGAGTTCCTCACACATGTCACGTGTTTCTTCTGATTCCAAAGCGTAATGGTTGTTTGCGAACAGGCGTAGGTACACACCACCCATGTGAGCATTCCCGTCGCATATGCACAGAATAGCGCAGGCCAGGGTTGCATCGGCGTGCCTTGGTACATTCCGCTGTAAAAGTACAATGGCGCCCTTAATGTCAGACTCATGGGTAACTAGACGCAGTCCTTCATGGTAAATAGCAATCGGGTTACCAGCCTCTAGACACCTTTTGAAAAAGGGTCTATATCGACCTTCAGCGTTGATGTCATTCGGATCATGGCCTGCCGCATGGAAGTCATCGGGATCACTGCACATGCTATAAATATTAGCATCTTTCAAGACATCCGGCCTGTAGACAATGTTTCTTCCACCACGCCCTGATCTTAACAGAGGTCCGAGGTACCACCAACATTTTTCAGCCATTTTTTTGGCTATCTTGGCTAGCAAATCTTCTGGTAGATTTGGTGTAGACATTTCTTGGAATTTGGTGTTTCAAAACAATGCAATTCCTACTCTTAAATAAAGAACAATGAAGTTAGTTGGTTAAGTTATGGTTGTAGTTAATGCAATCTTACGTAAGTGATGATGCAGTGGGGGAGGGTTGTCAAATCAATGTAAGTAAAGAAATAGATATCTTATTATGAGAAAAATCGACTTTGTGTAAAAGACGTACGTTATATAAGATGTACGTACACATGTTGGTTTTTGAATAAGTGTACGATGTGCAGATTGTTTAGAGAAGATAGTTATAACGATTACATAAATATTTTGAGGATCTTCATAATTAATTACGTTGTTCTAACTAGGTTGTTGAAATAAGGAAATAAGTACTAGGAAATAAAAATAATTCAACATCCAGGGATGATTACAATAAACGCCGATTACCACACTCGCGCTTGCCGTGCTCGTAGATTTCTGTTGCGTACACCTGACGGTAGGTGGCCATATCTGCTTCTTGAATATTCACCAAGTCTGACATTGGGTTACCAAACGCCAGCAACTCCAAGAACTTCATTGCGTAAGGCCCGCAATCTCCTGTACTTGGGTTTTGAGCGACCATAACATTTCTCTCATAGGCAAAAGGTTCAACTGAGTACTTCGCAGGCAATACATCCGCGCACATCGCTCTCACTAGGTACGGCATCATCTCGCAGACAGGCTGCATCTTTGACCATGCAACAGACTCCCGTGTGTGTTCTATGAGAGCGTCATAGACAACTATATTCCGGGCTCTGAGGTGGATTGCCAACCCAACCCAATGATCACCTTTCCAGTTCATCGGAGCATATACCACGTCGACATCCTTGAACCACCTAAGACTAGGTTCACGGTGTATGTGTATTCCATTGGCCATGTCGTATAGCCGGTCGCCCCATTTGAACCCAAGCTTATTTATACAATTCCCGAAACTGACAGCACGCTTAGTAAGCTCATAAAGCAGGAAGGAGTCCAAAACAACGCATCGGTTTGCTATCATTTGTTGACCGTTCTTGTGCCACATCAAGATTGCGAGCATTTCCAAGACCTGAAATGATAATAGCATAGGCAGTCAGTGTACGTACAATTCAGGCATATTTAAAAAATGTACACAAATGTACTATTTCAACTTACCATATTATCCACCCAATGTCCTTGTGCTATAAGCATGGAGAAAAACTCGTTGTCCACTTTGCGATACCCGAAAAGAGTGTGCTTCCTGTATATCCAATATTATAGTATGACTGGTTGTTATAGAAAACCAATGTATCAATTAAGGGATAATTTTGATAATGCACGATACTTACAAATTCGGACCGCGGAGGACATTGGTTAAGAGCTCTAATTTGGAAGCATCAACCTTCTCCAAGGGGTTGTAAGGGACATTTCCAGCCGCTATAACCACTTCTGTATCTTCAGCTCGTCCAGGAACATCCTCCACGAGGACTGTTGTTTCCTTAAAACCTTCCGGAAGGGCGTCATCCATCTCAACAATTATTTGCTTCTTCACTTTTTTGGGTACAACCGGCGTAGGAATTTTAACTGCTTCGACTGCAGCATCGTTGTTTGGTTCATCCTGTAAAGAAGTAATATTGTAAACAGCATGATTAAACAATTTCAAAATGTAATGATAATATTTACTGGGAAGATACTCACAATATTTTCTAGTGTACCAACTGTCGTGTCTGCTTCATCTAACCCTGGGTTTGAATCCTCTTGTTCTTCCACCCCGTCGATAATCCCCTGCTGCTCCAACACTCCCTTTTCAAATTAACGTGCAGAATTATTTAAATGTACGCATACAATCCTATGTACGTATGTTAATAACTGTGTATAATTTTAAACCAAACACGAGATTTTTACCTCCTTTACATTAGCTGCATCCACATCCATGGAGGCTTTCGCTGCCAACTCCTGTAACACCTGCATAATAGAAGATTATAAATTTAAACAAGCCTACACTATTTTATTTAAAAATATAGTTAGCTTACATTCCTAACTACTGCAAATGGTGAAGGGGGATCCCCTAGGGTGCCCTCAAGTACTGAGTCATCCACTTTACTCTCTGCAACTACATTGGGTACATCTCCCGCATCAACCTGTGGCAGTAGTTATCAACTTCATCGGCTATATACTCTATTTTGTGATGTCTGAAACAATCATTACTTATACGTACACGGGAAATAAGAAAGACAAATGTACGTACACTTACACCGGGTTCCTCGGTGTATTCAGCCTGAGAAGATGTATCTCTATCATTATCCTCAGAAATTTCTGGTTGCTCCCCAACATTTGCTTCACTCTCAAGACCGGCACCATGTTCTTCTCCCTGAAACAAATATACCATACACGTCATTCAGTGAGTACACATATGGAAAACTACATTTGACTATTAGCAGACCATATACCTGTCCAGATGTTGCAGGTAAACCTGATGGATTTTCTACCATCTCTGTGTCAGCAGTTGGTTTTTCATCTGTCCCTCGCTGTGTACCAACTACGACAGGCTCACCACCATCAATTGGTCCTTTATCCTAAAATATAGTATACCATACACTTCTTAAGCTATATGTACGTGGAGAACTGAAAATAATTGATAATGGTACACTTATGGAAAACAGTATGTGACTATTAGCACAAGACATACCTGTACAGAGGTTGAAGGTACAGGAGATGGAATTTCTTCCATCTCTGTGTCAGCACTAGCTTTTTCCTCGGTCCCTGACTGTGTACCAACAAGGACAGACTCACCACCATCACGTGCTCCTTCATCCTGAAACATAGTATACCATACAATTCTGAAGCCTATGTGTACGTACACAACTGGAAATAATTGAAAAAAATATTTGTACACGACATACCTGATGGGAAGGTGTAGGTCCACCAACTGAAATGTTAGCTACTCCAGTGTCAACCATACCTTCGTCTCTGTTCGAAAAATCTCCTCCATCATTTACAGAAAAACCACCTTCATTGTTGGCTTCATCCTGTACCATAGCAGACAAGTTACAGTTATTAATCTTCATGTACGTACATTTAAAATACTATATATAAATGTACGTACATGCCATACCTGGTCATCTTCCTCAGAGGAAGAGTTACCATCAGAAAGCTGAGTAATCTCAGCAACTGACGTCATTATATTCTTCAGCCTTGAAGACTTTCTTGTTCCAGACTTGAAGACTTTCTTTGTAGACATCTTTTTAGATGCCTTCGTCACACTCATCGGTGCCTTAACCACCGATTTATTTGGGCCCTGTGAAGCATGGGAAGTTTTGGTTGGTTCTGTCTTTTTGACCTTTGGAACTAAGGCAGCACGAATCTCCTTACGGACAAATTTCTTCAAGTCTTCTTGCATTTGTTTATTTTGTGCTTCCTGCCTCTTGAAACACCTCCTAAGTTCAACTACAAACTTCTCAAACTGGGGATCTTCAGAACAATCCTCAGCAGTGTCCTCATTTTCTTCTTCCACAACAGATTTCTGTTTTTTCAAAGCAGGTGCATTCGGGGCTGGTACATTTCTTTTCCTCTTCTTCACACCTACGATAGACCAGTTTAATCATTGATTGGTCTTCAAGGGACAATAATCAGAAAGTATAAAAACAACATTTACACTCACGTATCTCTCCAAGTTGTGGTGGGCGCTCCTGCTTTGGAAATGCAGCATTACCTCCAACCCATTCTTCCTCCTTCCACTCATGACCAGCTAACAACAGTCGCTCAATGTAAGCAACTCTTGGATCCTCAACTTCATCATCCCATGACAGGGATGGAGGACAAATATTGTCCTCTGGTTTCACAAGATAGGTTACCTCAACCTACACCAATAAGTTTGTTAACCACTTAGAGAATGTACACTTACTTTTTAAATAATGTACGTACATAAACAATTGTACATACCTCTTCAGCAGCCTCACACTCCAAGATGCTGGATGTCCTGATTGCCCGCAGAGAGGCAAGATGATGGATAGACCTCTGAGTAAATGTCCTGTTAGCTTCATCATCAGGTACTAGCTTAGCAAGGGATGGGATTGTTTCGAACGCAAACAGCTGGAGTGCTAATGGGAATCCATGTAGTGCATAAGACCCATCCTTTACACACCTTATCAGTTTTTGAGCATCTGAAGGGGTTTGGAATTTTGCTATCCTCTCCAAAGTACGGGTAAAAGACACCCTTCCCCAAGGGTATTTGCAGAAGAATTGCACGTCCTTCGTCATCTCAATAGTGAACTTAGAAGGCCTTATGGGGTTATTATGGCACCCTATCACACCATCTACCAAAATTATAAGAGATAAGGCCAGCTGCTTCCACCCATCCATGGTTTCCTCCTCCTTCAGCCAGACCACCAAATCATTCACTGTTGGATTCGGCTTCTCCCCAAACTTCTCCTCAAACAGAGTTTTCCAGACACTTTGACTACCAGCTTTAACCTTTAGCACATCCCTCACGTCTTTCTTGTTGGGATATGTCCCACATTCTAGACCAGTTACCAGACTAAATTCTCTTAATCCGAATTTTATTGGATGACCGCCGAAGACCATCCACATCTCATTCACTTTACTCGTCACTAACTGACGACATATTAGTCCAAGAACAAGCTTACCTGAGAAGGAAGACTTGTTAGCAGGTATCCTAAAAAGGTCCCCAAATGGAGACTCGAGAAGAAACTTCATCTCCTCTTTTCCCTTAAGAACTTGTGCTATGTCAGAAAGGTACTCCGGTTTGGAGTACGCGTTCATCTTCGTCTTCACAGGGTACCGGTCTAGGGCAAAGAGTCTAGGTGGTAACTCTTCAACTATAAGATCTTCAGTCGGAGCCACGCTTGTACTGCCTGCAATTACAAGTGATATACAATTAAGTACGGATGTATGAATTCGTGTACGTACACAGTAATTATCAACATTATATACTCAACATCTGAATTTTGGCGGAAAAAGAGATTTCCAATTCATCTTCTCAAATTTTCAAACTACAGATTTAGCAAAATCCGGCAACTTCTATCCCTTTAATTAAACAAGCTTTACGATTCCGATACACCCAAAGAAACTACAAACGAAATAATATCAGAACTTACCCAATTCCTCCGGCGGCTTTGTCGGAGAGAGTTTCCTCCTCGGGGATACTCTGAGTACCCGCTTCTCCTTCTCGGGGCCTTCCCGCGTATGCTGCTTCCTCGGTACTTCGTCGTTTTGTTTATTCCCAGCCATCTCGAAGGTTTCTATCTCGCCGGAGGTTTCTCAGGTCGTCTTCGCCGGAAAAACTTCAACTTTCTATTCGCCGGTTTTTGGAGTTCAATGCGATGCCTCAAATCAAGTATCCAACAATTCGAACGGTGATGTCGAAAAACGAAGATGGATGAATGAATTTCGAACTGATTTCAACTTCTCTCTCGAATCTCTCCGTCTCTCTCTCCTTCTTCTTCTTCGTTTTCTTCGACAGTTTTTTTTTTTTTTTTTTAAAACCGCAACAAAAATCAAAAGAAACTAAACCGGTCAGTAACTGTGCGGTTTGGTTTAATTTGTTAGGGGCATTTTCGTCAAAAAATGTTGTAACTGTCAAAACATGAGATTGAAATCTCACTTTGCCAATCTGTGAGACAAAATCTTTTTTTCACCCCAAACGTGAAAATTTCTTTTGTTTTTAATGGTTTTTACTTGTTTTGGTACTTATGATTGGCGCTTCATCATTGGTTGAGGAACAATATTAATCTATTCCTGAAAAGTTATTACTTACTTTCTATGATCCTTCCAATTGGTACCGGGTAAAACCCTTTCCTTGTGGCTTGCTTATCTCATGGATACGGACTTTTCTTGAAAGCTTAATCTGGGCTAAGGCCCCATGCCTCAACTTCATCATTTGCTAATTTAAGAACATCATGTGAATCTCTCTATCCAAATTGTTATAATTTTTTTTCATTTCCAGCTTTGCATATATTCCAAAAAATCCAAGAAAAATTAAAAATGTGAAGTCCCATTGACAATGGCCAAAACAAATGATTAATATTCGCAAATAGTAATGATGAGATAAAAAATCCTGATGCTGACATAATTTGTGATAAACCGAGCTTTAAGTATTGAGAAATACTCAAATAAAACATGATTTTTTGTTTTCTCATTCGCACACACCTATTGCATTGTGATTTGCAGCTAACCAATATATAATTCGCGGATAAGTTTTTGTTAATACAATTTTAATTAAATCAGTCTAATTTGAAATGTCTAATAATATTGGCTAGTGTAAACAAAATAATAAATTAAAAATTTAACTCGTATTGAAGCATTATGCAAATGATATTTTAATTTTCTATTAATGTTGATTTAAACGCATCCTATGTTATTTTCAACTTTTTATATGTATAAATATTCATATATTTTTTTAACTTTTAGTTAATTTTAAATATATCAATTATAATATTTCAAAATTGAAAAGTTTAAAAGTACTATATCCAATACAGTTATACAGCTAACCTTTTTTTTTCCAACTACCTTTTTTTATATAGAATAAGTTTAACTAAGAAATTAAACTTTATACACACTTTTAAATTTGGATGCTTATTAAGTTAAGTTTCTCATTCATTCGGATTTGGATTCATTTTGATATTATTTATAATATGCATTTTAATCATTGTTTAAATATTTTATCCGATAGGGGACTTTGAATACACACTTTTCACTAATTGAGTAATATGTGTTCACTTTTAACAATTCGAGTCACAATATATGCAGAATTTTTTTTTAATTTTTTAATAATTTAATGTATTATTTGATGATTCAAAAAAATAAAAAATAAAATCAAACAAAGATGATAGGAAATTATAATTTTCAATCTTAACAAATTTTTCTAAATAGATATATTATTAATTATAGCATATTATATGAATATTTTTAGTTTTATAATTAATTT